AGATGGCACGGGTGACAGCCAGTCACGAAGGGAAAATGATCAGCGTGTGGCTGAAGCGCAAGGGTGAGGCGGAGGATGAGGCTGTTGAGATTTTGTTGGTGCCAACGCGTTGGGCTGGTAGCGGTCTCATTGGGTGTGAATTTGAGCCGTGCTTGCAGGGATAAAGAAAGGGAGACATTTCGAAAAGGGAAGAAGTAGGTTATTTGGAGGGGGAGACGGAAGCGGGAGAAATGACGGTAAGTACCTTTGAAAGGTCTTGGATTTACGGCAACCATGACCAGTCGTATTTCTCTTTTTAAAAATTTTAGTTCCTCTTTTGCAGTGAAGGAGTTGGACTGCCTTTTTATTTTTTATTTTGTTCCTTTTTTTTTTTTTTATTGTCCGCATGTCCGTTTTTTCCTTTGGAGCTCTCAAGAAGACTGGTGTTCACATCCACCGGGTTGCTTTTTTTTTTTTTTTCCTTTGGTCCCGTATTATCTTCCCGCTTTTCTCCCTCTCTCTGTGTGTGTGAATGAGTGAGTGAGTGGGTGTGCGCCCACGGCTCTTGTTCTTTGTGGAACGTCCTGAGAAAAACAAAAAGAGGGTCACGGGAAACGGGAATGCCGCCCTACTCGCGAGTTATTAATTTGTACGAGCGATTCACAGTGTTGTCTGCCGCCGCCATCCGGCGGGAGGTGCATGGATTGTTAGGCACCACCACCTGCAGCACCCCGCTGTTGGAGCTGCGGGAGGTGTGCGAATTGCTGTTGAAGAGCGGCGAGCGAAGCCGGGCTATTTTGGTCGCAGACGCCCTTCCACAGGCTCAGCGGCAGTCCCTTGTCACCTCACTGGGGCTGACAGACCTGCCACACCAGCCAATCGGGCCTCATTGTCAGGAGCAGCAGACGGATAATGCTGCTGCTACTGCTGCGGGCCCTTTCCCAGCAATGGAGTTGTCTGAGATGTCGAATGAGAAGCTGCTGCGGTTGGGGTTTGCGCTGCAGCGGCCGCAGTCTCAACGCAGACGGGCTTCACTTCACTTCACCGATTCGAATAACGACGACGGCGAGGAGGAGGAGGAGGAGAGGGCGGAATACAACGCGGCGATGCAGCGTCAACTCTTTCTGGAGCTTCGTCGGCGGCGACGGTACAAGGATCTGATGCAGTGCGTCATGAACTGGAAGTCGAAAGGGCTCCTCCCAACGAGACGACGGGCTGGAGATCGTGACAGTGACGGGATACGCAAAGCGAGTGATGAGGAGAGTTCCTCCCAACCCATGGGAGTTAGCGGTACAGAAACGACATTGACGGAAGTTGCGGCACCATTCAACGCGGAGGAGGCGCTGCGTGGGCTTATATTCAACACCTCGTCTTCCTCCACTTTGTACGGCTCGTCCGGGGGTCAGTGGGAGAAGGCACTGCGGGAGTGCCCGGAGTTTTTCATTATCACGCTCCAGGAGCCAACAGCGGCTTTGCAGTTCCTTCGCAAGACGAGTGTAGAAATGGTAACGCGGTTTGCACTTTGCCTTTTGCAGGGGGATAGCACGGTCCAATTGACGCACGCGCCTTCTACTGTGCACAACCGGCCGGAACAGCGTGTCGCATGGGAAACCATTGCCTCTTTGTGCTTTGCCCTTCGGCCGCATCTGCTGCATGCGAAGAAGGTCGTCAAGGTGGACCTTCTGCAGGCTATGCTGCGTGCACTGCGGGAGGAGGCGGCGACGATTGGGGACAATTTCATAGCTCGGCGGAGCGCCAATCCATCGATTGCAAATGACGCACGTCTTTTGGCAATGCGTTCTGCAGTTGAAAGCCTTTGTGCGTCCTTGTCGCACCAACAAAAGGAGGCCCAGGCGCGGTTTATAGGACTGCCGCTGTTTATTGAAGTCGCCGTTGCCTTGCGTGACTGCGGCGTGCAAGTCCCGAGCGCACTGGCACAATGTGTTTTTTTATGTCTTGGTGACTCACAGCTTCATCAATGGAATGAGATGTCTTCATCTGGCAGCCAGGCACCAGTTGGCAGAGAGTTACTTGTTACGCTGCTGAGTTCCCCTCCGACCGATCGATGGGTGTCGGCACTTCGTCTGCTGCGTTTGTGCGATGAGCGGCGCGAATTTGTTGTCACTGCCGCACATCTTCGCTGCATCCTCAGCGGTCTGCAGAGCATTTCAATTAGTCATACATGGCAGACAGCTCTTTGTGTCGCAAATTCCATCATGAATCAGTATGATATCTTCCCTGATGAGTCTTCAGTAGAAAAATTGATGTTGAATCTTCATGCAGCATCATGGAAACGCGCATTTGAGGTACTGCATCTGTATGATAAGAATCATATTGCACCGCCGCCGCAGCTCTTGCGTGATCTGCACGTGGTGGCAATGAAGCACAGTTCCTGGGATGTTGTGCTGAGGGTCATGCAGTGGATTGAGGAAGCGGGGTCGGAGCAGGCTAGTCTTATGAATCATGTTTATTGCCTTCGCGCATTTGGATGCGCGGGGAAATGGAAAGAGGCCGTGGAGCTTTTAAAGCACCTAAAAGGCATTTCAGGCCTTGAAATGAGCGGTCGCTCTGTGTTCAATGAGGTGACGGTTGCAGTCCCCGTCATGGGCATGGTGGAAAATGAGCACTGGGAGTCGGTTGTGCGGTTTGTTGTGACATTATTTCGTCAATGCGGAGCCAAACTGACGCGTGAAGGGAGGGAGGTGGCCCTTGCGGCGGAGCTTCTTGCTCTTCTGCGTATAGGCGATGTGGCTCGGTTAGCATTCTTTTTGAATAGGCACAGCGGGGAGCCGATGGATGCCCACGACGTTGCGGCGGAGAAGTATGCGGACGATGACCCTCAACTTGAGGGATTTGGCGTGCCATCGTTTGTCGAGGAGTTGCGTGCGATTGTTCAGAGGGCGATGGAGCTGCATTCGTTGTGTGGCATGGAGCACCTCAACGCGCCTATTCGGCTGGTGTATGACATCGTTGCCGGTGAGGAGTACCGCCGCAATCATCATGCGGAGCGGATTGGGCCAGTGACGCGTGGCATGCCCCCGCAGCGGCCGTTGTACCTCCCGCCGCTTCACGTGCAGGCGCAGTACGAGAGTTTTGCAACGGCGCTCGGGAAAATGATCCGCCGTGAGGAGCGACTGTTCAGCATGGCGACGCAACAGGCTGTGGCAGAGGCGATGTCAAAAGCCGGCGCAGGCTCTGCGTACCTGAAGGCTGCGCTGCTGTAAACAACAGCGGTGGAGAGAGGGAGGGAAGGAGGAGGACGGAAGACGAAGTAACAAAAAAAAAGGGTGGTGGGTGAGAAACACATAAACAAACAAACAACAAGCGTGGTGACGCCAGGAATGAATGGTGTGGCTCTCTCCGCATGTCTTTTTTGATTTATTTATTTTCTTTCTCTCTACGTTTTTCCTCATTTATGTTTTGCTGCTTTTTTCTCTCACTCTCACTCTGTGCCGCCGTTTTTGAGGGACGCAGCTGACTCACGAGGAGTTATCATCACACCGCTAAGAGCAGTACTTTTCTGCTGTCTGCGTCTCTGAGAAGTAGTCAGGGCGCGAAGTTCATTGGGCTGTCGTACGGCATGAATAGAACGTGGGAGCCAGTGTTCGACGGCACAAAAACAGCACCGGGGAGCACGTGGGAGCTGGGGAGAGAATACCAGGTGGCGCTCATGCTGCCGGACGGCAAGGGCTGCATGTACGTGGATGGTGTGATTGTGGGGAGCTCTGCGACGATACCCACACCTTAGACGCAGGGGCATGAAATCTTAAACTTCTACTTTGAGGGCGACGAGGGAGACATCAACAGCAATTTGACGGTGACGAACGTCTTTCTGTACGACCGCCCACTGAGTGACGATGAAATAAAAACGGTAAAGAAAGACGGTGACGGCTCCATGCGTGAGGGCGTGTCTCGGGTGCTCCTGCTGCCGCTGCTAGGGCTTTGCGACTCTTTACTGAGAAATCGTAATGAGGAGTTCCTGCCTCCAGCGGGAGCAGTATATATAACTCTCCACGCACCCTCTGAAATAATTGCCACTTTTCGAGTGGATGCAAATTTCATTTTATATATTTTATTTTACTTGACTTTACACTTATTTTGCTTTCCAGGGCTTTTCCTCCATGTGGAATCATTCTTTTCTTCGGGGCTAGCACTGCGGGTTTTTTTGTTTTTCATTTTGCACTTTTGTGTTTTTTTTTTTCATTTTCTCCCGTGAGTGTGTTCGGCCTGTGACCTGAGGGTTCTCTTCCCCATTCACCATCACCACGGCTGCGGCAGTCGGGGGTAATTTTGTTCTGCGTGATTGAAATGTGTGTTTCTCCAAGCTGCTGGCGTATTACTTTTGGATCATACGCTCTTTTTTTTTTTTTTTGTTAGTCCTTTTTATTTTTATTTTTAGCTCTTTAATGTGCATGGCATGGGGGCCAACGGCACGCTGGTGGAGTGCAAGCGCGGAGAGTCCGACGCTGTTGTTTTCCGCTTCCTCATATTTGACGCCCCGTCGCCCAGCAGCGTCACCGCGTATGTCAAGTTGATGCAAAAGTACAACGTGAGGCACATTGTGCGGGCATGTGGCCAGACGTACAGTGCGGAGGCTTTTGAAAAGCAGGGAATGGTGGTGCACGGCTGGAGCTTTGACGACGGTGCCCCACCAACGCAGACCGTCATTGACAACTGGCTGAATTTGCTCGAACAGGAGAAGAACAAGTCGCCCCCAGAGACGATTGCCGTGCACTGCGTTGCTGGACTTGGCCGAGCACCCATTTTGGTTGCGCTGGCACTTGTGGAATACGGCGGAATGCCGCCACTCGATGCGGTGGGTTACGTGCGAGGGCGGCGCAAAGGCGCCATCAATCAGGTGCAGCTGAACTGGCTTATGCGTTATAAACCGCGTCATCAGGAGGGTAATGAGGGGTCTTTGAGTTGCGCGGGGTGTGCGGTCATGTAGGCGTGAGAGAAATTTGATGGTGCACAATGAGACGGCGGGAATACAGAAACAAAAAATTTTTTTTTTTTTTTATTATTGGCGTTTTTTATTTTTATTTTGAGCGAGAGCGGGTCACGGTCCAATCCTGTGGGGATGCCGTGAGGATTTCATGCTTGCGTAGTGCTAATGTCTTTTTGCACGCACCAAATGAAGCCGCACACGCCAAGCAGATGTGCGTGTGCGAGTATTGCCAATGAA